CAAATAAATTTGAATAAAAAGCTGTTTTAAAATTTTGGGGAGTATATATGAACGGGTTGCCAAAACTACTCATTTGATTAAGAATTTATTTCGAACATGAAACTCTCATTCTTCAAGACCAATCAGACTACATATGGTTAATATAAATTAATTTTTATTTTTTAAATAAATATATTACTTAAATTTTAATGGTTACGTAAATAAAAATCTATAAATTCAATTTTTTAATGATATTATTTATTTATTATTAAAATAATTATAAATACAATTGTCACATATGGAGTATTGGCTACTAAACTTTCCTTCCATATTGACTCTGAATCCATAAATAGAATACAAAGGAAGCTTCGACCAAACGTAAAGCATTTCCCCTCTAAACTACTGCTACAGGTAGCTTTATTAGAGTTTCTTATGAAGTTTTTTGCTATCGATCTGGTAGTCGGTAGTCGTACTTTTTAATCTGGTAAGAGGTACTTAACTCGTCCGTTTTAGCAAAGAATTTAAGAGCATGCACTTAATTCCAAATGCACTGAGAGTAGGTTAAATGAGTCGGATTGAAAATGGCATCAAAGGCGAGTCTTATGGAAAAGGCTTCCCACATGGTGGCCGACCGTTCAAATTGGATGGTGGCTGTGGCGACAGCCTTCTTGGAGGCAGCCCAACGTGGGTGTTGCCATGTTTGCCAGGTGGCTGACCGCCACATGGGCCACTAGCCACTGCCCTCTAGTAACGTGGCTCAGCCCAACCGGAAAGAGAACCATGCACACTGCACGTGAGTCATCTCAATTCTGTTGCTGCCTAGGAAAATGAACATTCATGACTAGGTTAAATTGAGAACAATACTAAGGTATTTTCAATATTACTACTTAGGAAAATTTAAGACTTGTTATTATTAATACTTAGGAAAATTGTATTTAAATAATATGATAAAATCATTACTTGTAATTAGAGAAATGCAAATTCCCTATACCTATTTAAAAAAATTGAATTACTTCTTTGAAAATTAAATTAATAATTCAAACCAAACGAATACACTCTTCTTAAAAAATGTACTTCCTTTATCCAATTAGCTTAACCAAACAAAACTTTTAAAGTAACTAATTAAATAGAAAGTAAGAAGAGAGTAATATTACTCTCTCCCTTTCATTTTAATAGCAATAATTTAATCAAATTATTATTTATCTCAAAATTAATAATTATTTATGAAGGTATTTATTCTAAATAATCTAAATGAGAGTAATATTGGAAAAATATCATTTATTACTCCTTAAAATACTCAAACGACTTATATTTGTGACAAAATAATCACCCATAAACGACTTATATTTTGGGACCGAGAAAATAATTATTTTTTTTCAATTTTATCCATATTTATTAGGTGTTTTATAGCAAAATTAAATTGTGAGCTTTTAATTTTAAAAAAGCAATTTATATATTTTACTATATATTTTTAAAAAATTAATGTATTCCAATCATTTTCTTAAACTTGTAAAAAGATCAAATGTCGCTCTTAAATAAAGTAGCATTTTTTAAAACTTACTAAGATAATGTAGTCTTTAATTGATCAAATAAATAAAGACAACCTTATTTAAAATGTTTGACTTATTTGAATTAAAATTTTTAACTTATAATTCAATCCAAAAACTATTGTATTTATGATTTTTCATACTTACAATTATAGATTTAATTCACTTAAAAATCAAATAAAAATAAATTAGACGAAATTATTGTAATTATAAGTATATGAAAGAGTATAGTTGTAAACAAACTCTAATAATATTGGTAAAAGGTAGGCCTATATCGTCTTACCCCAACTAAGAACGACACCGTATCTTCTTTATCCCTCACTCCCATCTCTTCTCTCTGAGGAAAAAAAAAAAAAAAAAAAAATAATATTGGTAAAAGGTAGGCCTATATCGTCTTACCACATAAAGAAACGACACCGTATCTTCTTTATCCCTCACTCCCATTCTCTTTCTCTGAGGAAAAAAAAAAAAAAAAAACAAACAAAACCCCTGTAACGTGAAAACCCTCTTGAGGAAAAAAAAAAAAAAACAAAACAAAACCCCTGTACGGAAAACCCTCTCTCATCTCTCTCACTCTCGGCTGAACACACTCGCCACCTCCCTCTTTCCTCTGCTCCTTAGCCGCCAGCCACCTCTTATACTTGTCTCACGGACTATTCTCAACTAGTCATCCAGATTCAGAAAGGCCAGGGGCAATCGCCATCTTCGATTATTTTTGTAAACAGAATATTTCAAATGAGATTAACCGCTTGAAATTGGTAAGGATCTTCCCTTTCAATTTGATTTTCCTCAAAGTCCCCTTTTCTTATTTGTTTTTCGTTTTCATTAACTATGGGAAGCCATGATTCCTTCTTTATTTGTTTTTGCTTTTGCTCTACTTTAGGTTTAAAATGATGATTAAAGGTTTTTTCTTCGTGTGTATCTGATTTGCTGTTTGTGTTTTAATAGTCTTGATTTAGTTTAGATTTAAAATGAAATTAAAAAAATAACAAATGACCCAAAGTGAAGTGTGAAGGTTCTGTGTTTTCTTTTTTTTTTTTTCTTTGCTGGTTCTTCTTGTGTTATCTACATTTGTTTTGCTTCTGTTGATATAAGGGTTCATTTGAGTCCTAAATCGTAGAAAAAGAACATGGTTCATTTCTGTGTTTGAAAAAACGAATTTAGTTGCTTGGTTAAAGCGGTTTATTTGAATTTAAAGTGAATGTGATGTCTGCACATTGGACATTTTCTCTGGGCTAATTTTATGCTTTCGATTTCAAAATTCTGGTTTATTTCTAGAAATTCAGGAACTGCTGTTTCAAAATTGGTTTAATCTGTGTAGCCAATGGTGTGCTGTTTGGATTATCAACAAAAGTTTGATGGAAATATATTACTGTTTGACTGTTTGGAGTTTTTTTTTTTTATTGAGAACGTTAATGGGTTCGATTTTGATTTGGAGGTCTTACTGTTTTGTTTGTGTTCTTAGAAATTATTGCATTTGGATTAGATGTTTGGTTATAATTCAAGTAAAATAAAAATATGCTTGATGTTGGAATCTGTTCAATGAAAGAAGTTTGTTGTGTTTTTGTTTAGTCTTTTTTTGACATTGGAAAGAAGGTGATAATTACAATTGAATGCAAAAATTTATTATTCTGTGTTGCCTTATGAATATAAGAATTGTTTGATTTAAGTTTCATGTTTTTACTTTAATAATTAAGATGTATTTTGCCAAAGTCTTAAGCTTTTGGATTTTCTTTTTTCTTTTTGTCCAAATGGATATTGCAAACAACGGATTCATATAGCTGGCCCCAACTAATTCGGGACTAAGGCTTTGTTGTTGTTGTTGTTGAATCTTCAAATTTGCTGGTCATCCTAATGATTAATTTTGTGCATAATATTATGTACTACCCATTCTGTAAATTGATTTGAGTGTATAATTTTGTTTTCTCTTTTCTTTTTTTCTTCTTCCTTTTCTTCTTCTTCCTTTTCTTGTAATGAATAGGAATCATGATCTTCGTAACTCTTGGATTCTTTTGATGTGGCTGTGATAATGATGCTTGAATATAATAAACAAATTGGACAGAAAAAATTTTGGCAGCGCAACTTCTATTTATGCTATTTCTGTTTGTTTGACAAATGCATAATCTGAGCCTCTGTTTGATTGTAGAATGCACCCAGAAAACAAAACCTTTTTTCAGCAGAGAAGAGAGTGAAGCAAAAGCAAGACCTAAACATCAAATATGGCTACAAGTCTCACAAACAAGACATCAGTTACTAATCAAACCCTAAGCTTATTCAGATTATCATTCAACTTCATCAAAAGCTTTAGTACTTCGCCTTCTGCTACTGTTGCCTCTCCAACTTCTTCTGCTTCGAAGAAACCAAAACAAAGAAAGAAGAAGAACCTGTTTGAGGTTGCTCAGTTTTTACCCAATTGGGGAATTGGTTACCACATGGCTAAATCTCATTGGAAAAATGTTTCTTATGAGATCACCAAGATCAATCTCTACAAGGTCTCTCCCTTTGTTTGGTATCTCTGTCCCTTTGTCGATGGAATAACCTGAAATTAATTTTGTGTTTTTCTAGTGATCTGAAAAGTGGAGAAAGCTCAAATGTAATGCATTTTTATCACATCATCATCATTATTATTACTTTACTGTTTAGTGTTCATGTTATATTGATTTGCATTTATATCACATCATCATCATTATTATTTTACTGTTCAGTGTTCATGTTATGTTGATTTGCATTTATATCATATCATCATCATTATTATTTTACTGTTTAGTGTTCATGTTATGTTGATTTGCTGGTCTTTGTTTAGTTTTTTGAAGGATCTAGGGTTGGAATAGACTAGTTTGATTGCAGTAAAAAAAGACAGAGGCTTTTTATAACAAAAAAAAAAAAAAAAAAAAAAAAAAAAAAAAAAAGTTTGATTGCAGTATAAATAAAGACAGAGGCTTTTTGTAACAAAAAAAAAAAAAAAAAAAAAAAAAAAAAAAGAAAGAAAAAAAAAAAAAAAAAAAAAAAAAAAAAGAAAGAAAAATTGTTGACAGGTTTTGTATGTTGCAGGATGGTAGACATGGAAAAGCGTGGGGGATTGCTTACAAAGACGGTCAGTGTTAACTTTGCTATTTTGTTATTCCCTCGTTTGTTATTGATGTTGTTACTATTGGAGATACTTGAAAATAAAATATCTGTTCTGGTGGCGGGTGCTGCATTTGCCACTTCATTTGATTGAAAATTTAGTAATGTTGATATTGATGGTGCATTAAGGGATTCTTAGATTGTACTGTGTTTGAATTAGTGAGGAATGATGTGATAAGATCAAACTCTAGATTCAGTGTTGGGAATGAGAAATGGTTACTTTACTCAGTTTTCAACCTGGATAATAAGTTCTTCTAAACTTAGAGGTTTTGATTTTGGAACTCAAAATTAGAAAGGATCTCCAACCTCTTCCCTGTGGAGAAAAGCCTTAAATTAGAACCTGAATTGTTTAGGATTTAGTATTGGTATTCTTGTATCTTCTCTCAAGTTTAATGGTTGCAACATGGAAGTGCTAGTCGTCATTGTCTTTGCTCTGGTTTGAATTATTTTGGTTTAGTAATGGCAACTTAACCGATTAATATTTATTACAGGAGCTCCAGCTGCAGAAACTCCCAAGAAGATAAGTGGAGTCCATAAGCGTTGCTGGAGATACATTCCAAGCTTAACAAACGCTTTGTCGTTGGAAAGCAAGCCAATCTCATCAAATTCTAATGAAACGGCACCAAAGGCTGAAGTTTAGGCAAATTGATACATTTTCCTTTTTAGCTAGGACTGGTAGCTTCGTTCTGTATTTGTCAATTGAGCTTCATTGTTTTGTTTTCTTTGCTCATGGTTAAGATATATATATTTGCTCAATGGTTAAGATATATATATAGTATATATATATTATATATATTTCTTGGTACATTGATGATTTTGCAACTAGAAAATAGACAGCTGACTATATATATATATATATATATATTTCTTGGTACATTGATATTTTGCACTAGAAAATAGACAGCTGACTACTAATTTTCAGTTATCCCATGCATCAGAAATAGATTTTTTTAATATTTAGAAAACAATTTTTTAAAACAAAAATGATCAAGAAATGTACTTCGGGTTGAATGAATGTTAATTTGTAAATGTTAAAAATTAAGAATTCCAATTTTGCAGAATGAATATATCCTAATTTTTTTATACAGACTCGTGTAAATCTTAAAAATAATTTCATTTGTTTGTGAAAAATATATTTTGGGACCGATAAAATAATTTTTTTCATGTTGTTTATGAATATTATGATTTTCTGTAATATCTAAATTATTTACTAGAAAATATAAATTTTCTTTCAATTTATAAGACTATAAACATGTTATATTAAGAATAAGAATTTCATTTGTTTTAAATTTCAAAACACTGTTAACAATAATACGTGATTTTCAGAACTATTTGAAAAATAATAGACAATAACGAGGAGATAATGCTCAAATATATGGAGAAGGTTAACTAATAACCCGAAACGAGACGGGCCTCATAAAACTATAAAAAGCCCAAGCCCAAGACCGGATATAAACTATAAACTGATATATTATAATTAGCTCAAGCCCGAAGCCCGGTAATCTCTCTACCATTCTTCTTCGTCCTGACCGCTATCTTTTCCTTTTCATCTCATATATTTCCTTTTGCAGAGTTTCGTTTTTCTTTGATCATAATCTGCTTCTTCAGTTGATTGGCGGTGGTAGCACGGAAACCGTAGAGCAATTCCTCTTCCGCTTCGTTTGTTATTGATTCGTCGATCTTACCCGCGCGGTAGCTCCTCTTGGAATCTTTCTCTGATTCTCGAACATCATACGAATTGCATACAGCAATTATGGATCCTCGATACACCGGAGAGATGTTGAAGTAAGATTCTTGTTGCTTATTTTTTCCTTTTTATTTTCCGTGAAATATATTTTTTATTCTAGAAAATGATTTCCTTTTTTTTTTTTCCTCTCTTTCCAAGGCATTTGGAGAAGCAGAATGAGTTGTTAACGGAAGCATATAATTCAATGTCTCATGAATTGCATAAGCTCCAGGTTGGTTCCTTTCCTTTCCGATTCTTATCTTTGTTTATGATTATTTGTTTAGAGTGTGAATAACTTCAAGGATTGATGATTAATTGAATGGGATTACTGTAATTGGAAGCTTATCAAAAAGTAAAGAAACTGTACCATAAAGGAATTGAAAGTTAGATTGTAATCACATTACACTGGAATGACAATGGACATTCTTGCCTATTGGTGTTTCTTCAAACTTGAGCTCAGTTCTGTTTCATTTTAACTACTTTCTTTAATCTAGTTCTTTGACTGAAAAGCACCTGTTCAATATTGCATTTGCATTTATGAATTTGGAATTCGTGACCACTGACCAATCAAGAAATAATATTGGAAAATATATGGTGAATGACATTTTTGATTATCTGGCTTTTTGTATACTAAATGGCGGCTAACCCCACTGAATTATTTCTTAATTATGTATGAACAAATTATGGGAATGGTTTAAATCAGTTGAGAGAGATGGGTTTCGGAATTCTATTCTTTGTTGTTTTCATCTGGAGTGTCAATCCAGACAGGACTTTAACAAAATGAATGAGAGGGAACTATGAAGCATGAACTTTTGTACAAAGTAAAATCATGCATCAAATTGAAGACATTTACATGTGCAAAACCCTTGCAACCTGATCATTTAATCAATGTTGCTTATTCAAACTATCTATGCTTCATCTCTTGCAGGTAGAGGAAGAAATGCTGATGCGAAAATTTTATGAACTTATGGCTGCTCAGGGTTTAAGTAAAAAGGTATTAGTTACCTGCCATGTTTGATTCATATTATGAAGTTTGCAGCAAAAATTGCGTGCTTGAATTCTTCTGGCTGTTATAGGAAACTAAAAATTTTGTAGCTTCATGAAAAATATGAGCTTGAAATTCGTGGACAAAATTTTATGATCTGCACTTATCTTTTATTTTATCATCGTTAATTCTTTAGCTGGAATTTCTGGCTGATAATTGGTCATCATTAATAATTGAAGTAAATTATCATAAAAAAACTTTGATATAGAGCGTAACAGAGTGATTAGCTTGGTACCCTAGCTTGGAAATAATACCTCTGTTGTTAGATTGATGGTGACAATGAGTGAGCAGTCAAGAAAGATTGATTCTAGTGCAATTTTGATTGAATTATGATGATGTTACTCAGTGTCTTTTTTCTCTATGATGCAATGTGAAGGATTCTTAATAAATGAATTGACTCATGTATTCCTTTGCAATGCAAATATTGTTGCGTTTTCTTCATCTTTCCTGTTAAACAACAAATTAACTGTTTCACCTTCATAAGTTTTTATATTTCAATAAGAAATCAATAGGTATCAAATGTCAGTATATGAGGATTAATTATCTGGTAACCAGCATTTTCTTTCCCTCGTCTGGTAAACTTATTTTCTTCTCTTTCACTACACTGCAAACAAATGTTATCAATATTTAATTTTAACTCTGGCAGAACGAAGGCAATACCAATTTTTCAATCGGTGGCCAAATTGGAGACTCCACTACTGCTTTACGTGCTAAAAGTGTTTCTGATGGTGGTGAAATTGGGGAATCAACTGCTATAATACCTACCAAGACCAATGAGTAACAGCGAGGATATCAAGTTCGCTTTGACTTTCTCATTTACTTCGAAAATTCTTGTGTTAGTAATTGTTTACCTTATGATCCTCATGTTCCCTTGTGTATAGCTACAAGTTTTGTTAACTGAGGTATTCGATCCTACAGTTTCATAAACTGTAAACCTTGTCTGTACCCTTCAATCCAAACATTTGAAAAACATAACTTCTTATCAGATTGAGTTTACGATAGCTACCTGAGTTTTACTGTATAATGTTCTTTGAATTGCAAATGAAGAATGGAGTTGCCAGAAATGGAGGCATGGTTTGTAACTCATATATAATAATAATTCCTTGTTAACATGTTTTTATGTCCTGGTCCCCCTTGTTCAATTGAGAATTTCTAATTAAATGTTACTTCATAGATTTAAGAGTTGTCTTAAGTGAAAGAAAGAAAAAAAAAAAAAAAAAAAAAAAAAAAAAAATGTTACTTCATAGATTTAAGAGTTGTCCTTAAGTGAAAGCAAAGAAAAAAAAAAAAAAAAAAAAAAAAAAAGGAAAAAAAAAAAAAAAAAAAAAAAAAAAAAAAAGGTGAGCAGAAAGAATTTCAGCTGCTAAAACAAGAGAGTTCAATAAATTGGGTAAAGAATCCATAAACACGATGATGTCCTTGGATTGTTGGGGTATGGTATCGTCGGACACCGCCAGCTACAGAATTCTTTTCACAGTTTTGTACAAAATATTTAAATATAAATAATTATATTTAAATTAATCAAATGACTTTTTACATATAGGGTGTGAATTTAAAACATCCTTTCCAACATAACTACCAAAAAACTAAAAGTTTCTACAAATAAATAATTATCTAATATGAAATATATTTTTCCCAAAAACGTTATTTAACATGTAAATAAATAATTATAAACTTTTATTTATCTTATTGTTAAAATTTGTCATGTATTTATGCAATTGAAGTTATACTACATCACATCTCTCTCTCTCTCTTTTAATATAATCCTTAATTTTTCTTTGTCCAATAGAAAATCTTAAAATTTTCATATTCAAAAAATAGAAAGAAAATCTTAGTGTCTCTTTTATTTAAAACTATTAGATTGCAATTGTCTTTATTACTATTTTGGTTTTCAATTATTTATTTCTGCAAATTGCAAGTAGAATTTGAGGATTTCATTGTCTGCGGAATCTTTTTTAATTATGTTATTTTTCACCTAGGTTATTCCTAGTGTTTCTCTATTTAAATTCTTGTTTTTTTTTTTTTTTTGAATTATTTTGTTTTATATAGAATAGTTTGTAAAAAACACAGAGAAAAAAAAATATTAAGGATAAAAACCAACAAACAATTTTGATTGTTTTTTTTTTTTTTTTTTTGAATTATTATTGTTTGATATAGAATAGTTTGTAAAAAACACAGAGAAAAAAAAATATTAAGATAAAAACCACAAACAATTTTGATTGAGATTTAATTATTTAGAGATAGGGGTATGAGAAAAAATACATTGCATAGAATACACGTATCAAATTGGTAACAATAAAAAAAATTTATAACTAAAAATTAAAAATAAAAAACAAAATTTAAAGCAAATATTAAACCTGTGGATTATATTATAAAAAGTGGAAAAAATTGTTAAAAGATATACAAATCCATAATCTCAAAATTATTTTCTATATTATTCAACGAAACAAATCATCAACTAATCAGAGTGGCGCAGCGGAAGCGTGGTGGGCCCATAACCCACAGGTCCCAGGATCGAAACCTGGCTCTGATAGTAGAGTAGCTTCCTGCCAAACTTTTTGGATTTTTTTCCCTACAACAATCTAGATATCTATCTTCGCATTGTCCCAAAACTCCTGAAACAATTTTTAATTGTTAAGATGGTCCAACTGTTGAACATGCAAGAGATATTTACCTACATAAATTGTAAATCTGTTCTTAACAGTGCTCCAACTTTATGTTAAAATGATGTTTAATTTAATTTACCAATATATTTCCTCCATTTGCACTTCAACTTGTTCATATTTTATCTGAATCATTTTAACTTTACAATTGTCACAACTTTTTATCATAACACCAAACCACATCTAAGCCTTAATCCCAAAACTTATTTTTCTGTTAAAACTTACTAAAAATAACAAAATTCTTTAACTCTGGCAAAGGTTATGAAAGATTAGGGTTTGTACAATGATTAGCATCTAATGATAAGGCTAAATGTCATTTTAAAAGTTTTAAATCCTATAATACTTATTGCTCAATCTCGAATGATTGGACAATAGTGCCAGATTGGGTGCCGGAGACACAATTCTTATCTAAAGATTCAAATCTCACTGCTAAAAGATATAGATAAAAAGATTTTTCTGTTTTGAGCCCACAAGTCTAACAAGTCTATGGTTTTACTTAAAAAACATTTATCCATATCTTTTAATGGTGAGATTTGAATCTTTAGCTTAGAATTGTGCCTCGAGCGCGGGGCAATGGATGTTACAAATTCACCAATCACAAATCCTCCACAAAAGAAAAGTACGAACAATTCATAAGCTAAGAACAAATAATTTGTATCAGCGTCAAGCCATCCAAAAAGTGTATCTAGATATGTAACAAACAAGTGAAGAATCAAATAGAGAAGCAATGTCTAATAGACTGAAAGTAATAGGATTGTACCAATCTAGTTTAGTACTAAAATACAAGTCAAAAGAGCATTCCCATTCTACTCTTGTGATCCACAAGACTGCACTACAAAACACTAGCTAAAAGCAGTCTCGTTAAAACAGTCTCCTAAAGGTTATGTGCTAAGTTGACCCACTTCATATTTAAGGGTAGAGTACACAAATTAAATTCACCTTGCAAACCATACCCTACCAATCTAACTTTGTAGCAAAACAAATCCAACATTCTTCATTTCCCAACACCTTCTTCAGTTACTCTGTCTAGCTCAGAATAAACCGGCAATGAAGAAAACCTGAAACAACCATGTATTGTATGTATCATATTTCAAATTTCAGTCAGGACAATTAAACCTTATTTAAAACGAGCCTTGGCGCAGTGAGTTCAAACTTTAAATTGTAGTTAGATAAGAGTTTAAGATCACAAAGAACAGGTAATATAATATGGAGCCACCAATAGAACCGCCATTGTTATACGAGTGATTAAAATAGACTGTTAAAAGGTGTTACAGTGATGGATAAAGGCTAATTAATTCAAATTAAGAATAAGAGTCAGAAAAGCTTACTGGGATCAGACGTGATGAGCATGGCAGTGCCTCCAAAGCTGCAAGAACCTCCATTTCTTTTAGTCTTTTGAAAATAGCTATTGAATGCGTAAGAAGCATGAGCAAAAACAGTATCTGGATAAAAACAATTTCCTTGAGGCAAAATCTCTGCACAATCGGCGCCACCTTTACCACAAGCATAATCCATTGCCTCCTGTAATGTCTCTGCAGGGACACTAGGCTTAGCCACACACCAAAGTTCCTGCACCACCTCTGCTGGCCCTGGTGCTGCTGGTACTATCGTACTAATTGGATTACATGGTGGCAGTGAATAACCATACGGTGCTAACGCTGGTCCACTACTAAAAGGAGGCTGTTCCTGTTGTTCTGGTGCAAAAGGGAATACCATTGGTGGTGGAGAGGCAATAGGGTAAGAGAATGGTGGTGAAGCAACAATAGGTGATGAAGGATGTGGGTTTTTGGCTACATTGGAAGGAACAGAAAACCCATTTGGGGATTCTATGCTTGAAAGTTTCCTGTTAATGGATATTTTTTGTTTTGGGTTGGTCTCCATTATATTGATCTTGTTAAAGTGAAAAGATCCAAACTTTTTTAGAAATTCAGTGCAAGATGAGACCAAACTTACAGTTTCATCCAATAAAGCAGAGAAATTTGGAGATGGATTTATCGAATATGTAGAGTTTATACTATGTAGAAACTGTAACAGAGGTTCGGTTACTCTTTCAACAAAATCATCTCTGAAAAGATCAGATTTTATGTTAAAACAGCTAGAAGAAAAGGCAGCAGAAACTTTGATCTCTTTTTCCAAACCCCATCTAGTTAGAGAGTAATAGACATTCTTAAGAGACGGTAGAACCAAAACCCAGTTGTGATTTTGACCATTTTGGCAGAGAAGAGTGTTACCCACAACAATGGTAGTGATTCGAGTAGCAGGAAACTGAGATAGGACGTGGGTTCTAAGCCAACTCTCAGCTTTCAAAACACTCCTAGAAATTTCAATGAGATCTTCAACACTAGCAGACACAGCAAATGCGTGATCTGACTTGGACATTCCTTCAAAAACTCCAGAAGTTGTATCATAGAGGTTGAGGAATTGAATATTAGTTTCTTGACCTGCACCTACAAGAAATAACAAAAAAATTAAGGATTTTGAACAAGAAGAATCATAGAACATCCATTAGCTTACCAGTAAGACCCAGAAAACAGAGAAGGAAGATGTTGAAGAAGAGCCACACCATCTTCAACATTTCTGCTTTTTAGATAAGAAGATCTTTAAATCACAAAGAAAGAGAAAACCCACTGTGTAAAATTGCTGAACACTTAAAAACACGCTCTCTGCCTCTCTCTACTTTTTCTCTCTGCCTCTGCAAGTGTACTAGTAAAGTGAAGAAAGGTACCTGGATTAATTATCAGCACTTTAATATGAAACCGAAACAGCAGAAACAGAGTTTTCAAATCAAATATTGACCAACAGCTTTCGTGGGGTACAAGAGCTGAGCAGCAAAACAACACCTCAAGAAATAGAAGCTAATAGCTATAGCTAGCTATAACATAGAAGAAGGGTCTCTGTAAAATCTTGGAACGCGTGGAGAACAGCAACAAAACATGCTGTGGGAAGTATGGGATTTGAAGAGAGAGAGAGAGAGAGAGAGAGAGAGAGTTGTCGTTTCTCTTTTGGAATGTGCGCTTTGTTTTTTTTTTTTTTTTTTGGGATTTTGAGAGAGAGAAGAGAGGAGAGAGAGAGAGAGTTGTTCGTTTTCTCTTTGGAATGTGCCGCTTTGTTTTTTTTTTTTTTCTTTAATAGCTTTGTTTTTTTTTTTTTTTTTAATATGGGCAACCTCGAGAGGATGAATGAAGTAAACGTTGTCGTTTCTATATTGAACGACATAAGAGTCCTCTTGTTAAAGTACCGTTTCAATTTTGTAGAGCGCCGAGAACGAACATCACGGGATGTACGAATGAAACTAAACAGAAGAAGTGGGGCCAAAAATGAAAGTGGAAAAAGATAAATAGAAAAAAAGTTGGCCCCCCAACTATTCTGATTTGTAGGGCCCGTTTTTGCTTTGATGTGACAGGTTGTGGGTCCAGCTTATCGGACGGCTAAGGAGATATCATCACGGACGGATACGTAGTAGTCAATCATGGCCGTTGACGGTTTGACCTTGTCATATTGGTCCTTTAAAAAAAATACACTTACGGTTAAGTATAGGTTAGTGTATGGACCACGGACCACGCGAAAAATTGATGTAACAATATAACATATTTAAGGTACAAAATTACAAATTGGAAATCTAATTTCTTTCGGATATAAATTGATATGTCCTCTTATTTTATGGGTTATTTTCCCACTTAAATATTTCAGAATTTTGATTTTAAATTCCGAGTCATATATAATATAATTTCTAATATAATATTTATATTAGAAATATATTGTTTTATTATAATTCAATGAATGAAATCTTAAATTTAAATTATATCAAATTAGGACGATTATCAATTATAAGTTATTTGTTGCCATTTTTCAATATGTTAGTAACTATTAACAAATAGTAATTAAACATGAATCGCTATTCCGATTATTTAGATTTGAAATTTATCTAATTTTAGTAAAATTTATGTAGACAATGTTTGATTTGAGAGATTGTAGATAATCGGTATCGAACCCCGATATTAAGAATCGTCTAATCCGGTATGGACTTAGTCACAGTTCAAACTCTTCAAGCTCTTCGCTCCTCCTTGCAGGTGTGTTTAGTGAGAATTGAACTTGAGAACTCTTCATGTATTTGCCAACTTAAGTACAACCCTTAGATTTAAATAAAAGATTTCCAATAATAAGTAAAACATGTAAATTTTGTAGAGTCAAATTTATGAATTGTTTAAGGGGATTTTAGGAAAAAAAATTTAGTTTACAAAAAAATACCATTTAAATGTATGAATTTAATATGTAAACTAAACAAAAAATACTTCAAACTAAGTAAAAGAGATTATAATAATCCATGCCATTAAAAAATATTTTTGGATAATATAAATATTTTACTTTGATTTTTTGATTTTTTGATTTTTTACTAACGGGAACTCTATACTTGATAACGAAAATTTTTACAATTGAAAAATCTCGAATTTAAAACCTTTCATTTTCAATACTAGTGAAAATATCGATAATATTAATAAATACAACTATAATTTTAAATCATGAATTTCTTGGTTCACATCTTAGTAGTTTTCATCATCGAATTCACAAAACACCTTGAATCAACACACCACCCCATCGGTCACCAACTAAAAAACAACTCCAAAGTAGCGGTGGCCACTTATTCGAACCAAATGGAAACTCAAATTAGTCCACTTACTACTAATTTGGGGACCAAAATGAAACCATTCCTCATTGTCTAGTCCTAATAGGTTATGGGCCTATTAGAGAGAAATATTTAAATAGTTTTGGCGCATGACTCACTTATATAATTAATCAACAAAATAAATTATCAGTCAAAAAAAAAAAAAAAATCAGACCTACTTATATAATTAATCAGACAACAAATAAATTATCAGTCAAAAAAAAAAAAAAAATCACCCACTCTTTTTATTTGAAATTAACTATAGCATATTGAGTAAATCAATACACCAAACATAAATAAATAATTTATATGCTACTAATTAAAAAAAAAAAAAAAAATCACCACTCTTTTTATTTGATTAACTTAGCATATGAGTAAATCAATACACCAAACATAAATAAATATTTATATGCTACTAATAATTTCCATTGTTCTCAAGTTTTATTTTTCTTTAAATCAACTTTAGAACTAGTTCAAATTGAAAGTTAAACCTTCAAATTTGAATATTGAGGGTTCAATTTCAAGCTTTATTCCCAAATCTCTATTTGATTCAATTTGGGTATCAAACCGAAGCTTTGGCAATTCTGCTGCCACGCACTCATCCAAATTATCAAAAGCATTTGAATCAAATTGTAATAGTTGCAAACGGAATACATCTGTTTTGAATCGAAAAGGAACTGGATTCTGCAAATTGCTTTCTCGATCTTGTGCAAATAAATAAAATTGAAGTTACATGTAGCTTCGCTTTCCTAAGCTCATATTGAGAAAAGTTAGGAAGCTGAAAAAGCAGAAAGGAAAAGGTAAAATATTTGGCTTGTGAGGTAGAAATGCTTTGGTCACCTGAAGGAGAAAAGGGTTTCGTGACATCCACTCCATGGCTCCATGCAGTGCCAATAATACTGCTGGATGCCACCATTTCTTGTTCTTCCTTTTTCTTTTAGTTAAAAAAGAAAAGTCTGATCTTTGCCTTTCCTACGTTCCTTTTTGTATTTTCGACAATATTTGAAACACTAATGATGCAGGGAATAGTCCAGTAAAAGATAGACACACAGTTAAATCTAGAGCAAAAAGACACGTGTACAATCCAAATCAATAATTTTTGTTTAGGTGGAAATTCCATTTTAATTAAAACAAGTCAAATTAATAACTTTCTCAAAAATAAAAGTCAAATTAATAACTTCACAAATTAAATTAACGTTAACAAGATTAAAAGTTGAAATAGTATTATATATCCTAAGAAAATGTGAAAGCAAAGAGGTTTATAATGATATATTATTTTACTGTATTTTTTCACTTAATATCATCGAGTTGAGTCTGAATGCATGGTGAGACCCGCTGTTTCAGATATAAATTCTTGAAATAATAATAATAATGGAAAAAAATCTCTTAGGAAAAGAAAAAGTCTAGCTTTGAAAAGCGGTCCCTTGTTATATATTGACATGGTTGATGATGCTTATGATTAAGAATGAGTAAATCAATATCATTGGTGCTGCCTTATTTATTTATTTATTTTATTTAGATTGCATGGCCATAAAGCAAAGGTTGGATACTTGACGTGTTGAGCCTCTATAGCTAAGGTAGGTCTTAGGAATTCTGACTTGCTAGCGAAAACACCAATGGCTTTTTTAACCTTAGTCATAATGACCAATGGGAGCTAAACCCCATTTTAAGGAAGGACCTCATAGCATTAACAACAACAACAAGATTCGCACAAACTTTTTTCTTTGAATAATTTTGGATGTAGAAAATAAATAAATAAATATAATTTAATTATAGAAAATTTACTTAATTTTTTATTTAATGTCAATAAATTCAAAATATAAATTTTTTTTATACGTATGGTTAAAATTATTTTTGAACCAATTTATGCGCATTACTATTAAATTTCTTCCTCAAATAATTTTAAAAATTCATTTTTCATTCGACAAGATATATTCAAGAGTATTATTTTCAAATTTCTAAAGTACTTCTTATCATTTTTTTTGCATAAGTTTCGTTTAAATATATATATAGTCATTTCAAAAATTTTATTTTTATCTTTTTGCCCTCTTAAATGCAAATTCTATTTTGGTCCCTGGTTTTTTATCTTTATTACATTACATTACATATCTTTTTTATTTTAATTTTTTAATCGAAGTCTTGATAGTGCGTAAATGAGCTTGTACTATTTCATTTTTTATTAATAACTAAAAGTTTTGACAGTTCAAAATAAAAATTACAAAAGAGAGAAAAAGTTGAGTGAAGTGTAGGACCTACATTGACTAAGAAAATATAAATTGATGTGATCATGTCCTTTGTATTGGCTTTAAGGGTAATATTTTACCACCAATAATAATCTGGTTAAACATTTTTTTTCTTTTGATTATGTCCTAATAATGACAACAACCATAATAATTTTGATCCATTAAGCACTTCTTAATCATTATATTTATATATCCTCCATTGGTTTAAAAATAATTCAATGGATCATATCTTTACACATCTACCAATCAACTTGAATAGCAAAATATCAGCTAACAACCACAATTCTTCAATATTGTCGGTTAATAGAACTTTGACCATACACAAATTTTCCCATAATTCAATTCATTTTGAAATCCATCCATGCCAATTATAAGAAATCCTTTTTTATTTATTTTTTTTTTTTTTGAAATGAGAAGAACTTGTCTATTAGTTTTTCTATGTAGTTCATAAAGTTGTTTAATTATTAAGTTGTTGTCACAACAATGGAAATGTAATTTCTTGCAATTTATGTTTGAAATACTATACCTAAACAATTATACTCTAATTTCATTGTAATATGCTAGAACTACATACTCGCCGAAAAAGAGAGACTATGGGTAGGCATGATCACGGTTTAAAACCGTCAATTTTAGCTATAAAAAGACAGAATTGAATTTGAACCATTTTTAGGCGGCTTCTAAGAAGAATTTGTTTTTCATGGTTTCAATCCGAAACTGTCCATTTTAAACCAAAACGGCTGGTTTCAATTTAAAAAAATGAAAAATCAAAATCGAATTTTAAGTACATAATTTCGATTAACATTTGAAATCAAAAACCATTGACTATAGTTTAATGTTGATTACGACCGGTTTGAATTTGATTCAACTTCGATTTGAAGTGGAACCATAGTCATGTCTAATTAAGGGGAGCCCAGCTTCTCTAAGCTCCATTTTGTTTTAATTTATCTTATAAATTAGTATAAATATTGTTTCTTTTATTTGCCTTTTTAATTTTTGAAATATTTTCTTTAGCCTCTCCTAATTTTGGAATCCTATCTTAAGAATTATTACTATTTATTAATTTTCAAAAAACAAAGAGTATTGAATTAAAGTT